TGGCTCGTTTGATTGGAAATAAGAGTCTCATGGACTTTCCTTCCCCGGGCTGGCTTTGAACAGTGATCTTCAGATCTCAGCCTCCTGAGTAGCTAGGATGACAGGCGTGAGCCACCAGCACCTACCTGGGTAATGAATTTATTTTGAGTTGTCTAGGACAAAAAACCAGCCTCCCTGTGAGACTCCATTTGTTCTTCTTCTTTTTTTTTTTGTCGGTTATGGGGCCTGAACTCAGCCTGGGCGCTGTCCCTGAGCTCTTCAGCTCAAGGCTAGTGCTCTACCACTTGAGCCACAGCACCACTTCCAGCTTTTTCTGCTTATGTGGTGCTGAGGAATCAAACCCAGGGCCTCATGCATGCAAAGCAAGCGCTCTACAACTGAGCTACCGTCCCAGCCCCTGTTCTTCATTTTTATTGGACACCCGGCCTTAAAGTCCCTCATCTGAGGGCTCATGGAGTCAAGCAATGATCAGGGTTGGGGATGAGCAGGAAACATGATTATCTGCCTCATTATTAGGAAAATAATTATTCCATCTGTGGGGGGATGAGGCCCATGGGAGTGGATCTGGTGAGGGGGGTCAGGCCCTGCTGCCCATTCTACCAGGTTACAGGGCAAAGGCTCAGCTGTTCCTAAGCTTCCTGGGCTGAGACTAAAGTGGAGAGGCTAAAATATCTCAAGAAACAGGGCTCAGCCCAGCTGGGCACCATGGCTCACACCTGTAATCCTAGCTACTCAGGAGACTGAGATCTGAAGATGAAGGTTTGAAACCAGCTCGAACAGGAAAGTCCATGAGACTTTGATCTCCAATTAACCAGCAAAAAGTCAGAAGTGGAGGTGTGGCTCAAATGGTAGAATACCAGCCAGCCAACCTTGAGCAAAAAAAGCTAAAGAAGAGGGGGTGGGGTGGGGGGTGTAGCTGTGGAGATGGGAGGGAAGGGATGGGAGAGAAAAACAAAGGAGGAGGCAACAATGCTTGATAAGAAATGTACTCATTACCTTGCCCATGTAACTAACCCCTCTGTACACAATAAAAAACTTATTTTTTAAAAAAAGCTAAGGAACAGCTCTTAGACCCTGAGATCACACCCCAATACTGTGTATACACACTTGTGTGCGCACATACACACACACACCACCACCAACAAATCACCAGAGCCCCAAGTGCAGCTAGACCTAAGGATTCAGCCGCCATTTAGACAGAGACTGGCAGGGTGGCACTGGGGCTGGTTAATGAGCTCCGGGAAGGCTTATATACCAGAACCTTGAGGTAAGGTTCTGGAGATGGGTACCTATCAGTGCTGGGTGACACTGGGCAGGCCACCAAATCTCTGATTCTTTGCTCTGTCTCTGCTCACTAGGGCCAGGGTGGTTTGAAGACCCATGAGATCAATGATGAGAAGCTCAGAAAGCTTTAAGTAAGAGTAGAGCCAGAGTCCTAGACAGGGAAGTCAAGATCCTGACCCATCTCCAGGGTGACTCAGAGCTAGCACCTTTCCCGTTCCAGAGGCTGTGGGAAAGGCATGCTTCAAGGCCAGGAACACTGTGCAATCATTCTACCGGGGTTCACCAAGTGTGGAGGGGTCTTGGGGGACTTGGGAGAGCCCGGCTTGGTGGAGAATGGGGGTGGGCCGGTGTCACAGTCTGCTGAGGTTGGAGGAACAGCGCCCTCTGCTGTACAGAGGAGGCAGCACTGGGCCTGAGGGCTGGCAGGAGGCCCAGCCTGGGTCCCGAGCCACTCAGTCCCCTGCCTCACTGCCTGGGAGCCAGAATGTACTGGGGAGCCAGAATGTACATTCCCCAGGGATGGCCAGGTGTTTTGTGGCTTTTGAGGGACGCTCTCAGCAAAACTTTTAGTAGCCCTGGAATTTCAGTTCTCCAAGCACTGGTTCTGTAGTCTGGGTGGGAGGGGATGGCTTACTTCTCTGAACCCCAGAACCCTCAAGGAAGGAAAAGAGACAAAGCAGGTACATCGTTCAGTGCCGTGATGGGTAGATATCAAGGCTCTGGCATAGCTCACACTAGCAGGACTTAAGGCACACAGGGTTCCCAGAGTTTCTGGCTCCCCCCACCCCTGTGCTCCCAACCCTCTAAACTCACTATGTGGGTACTCTGTGTGTGTGTGTGTGTGTGTGTGTGCACACATGAGCATGCGCCAGTACTGGGACTTAAACTCAGCCAGGGTGCTGTCCTTTCACTTTTCCACTCGAGGCTGGAGCTCTACCCCTTCAGCCAGAGCTCTACTTCCAGCTTTTTTTGCTGAAGAATTGGAGATAAGAGTCTTTATGGATTTTTCTGCCCTGGCTAGCTTCAAACTGCGACCCACACATCACAGCCTCCTGAGTAGCTAGGATTACAGGCGTGAACGACCCACTGGTGCCAGAGGAGTCCCACAATTGTAACTCAACTCTCAGTTCTGGATTGTACATAGCCCAGCCATGCACACGGGTATTAGGGTGGGGGGAGGAGAGGCTGGGTCTCTCCCCCCCCCCTCTGGTGTATCTAGGGAGCAGCTACAGAGGTGTAGTCTCCATCCTGTGACTCTCCTAGAGTGTCCCACCCTGTCATTGTCCCCTGATGAGAGATCACTCAAGAGGGCTGCTATGCTTCTACATCCAGTTTATACACAGTTCTATACAATATACAGAAACCTTTATATACAGATATATTTATAGAATAAGCTATATTAATTTGTCTCTCCTTTGTACAGCAATATTAGTGTGGATCTTTCATACATTAAGTACAAAAAAAAAGGTCATGGGAGAATGGCACGTAGAGAGATCGGGAGGGTATGTGGGGCCTAGCTGCTTGCTACTGATTGCATATGGAGGTCACCCAGGTCCCAGGGAGGACAGGCCAGCGTGTGGCTGCAAGAGCTTGTGCTGTGGGTCTGGGGGACAGTGTGTGTGTGTGTGTGTATGGAGGGGGTCTTAGCTGAGCTGGGCCCAGGGGGGTGGCTCAGACCCCCCCAAAATGCAGCCTGGGCTACAGGGGAGAGACGTGCAGCAGACCCATCCTTCAGGGGCAGGAAGGAGGCAGGTAAGGGAGGGTGGGCTGACCCTGGGGGGTCCAGGGCTGAGTCCAAGCCTGCCCCAACCCCAAGCCTGTCACTGGGTGTGGCTGCAGTCTTGGGGGTGGGAGGTCTGTCCCTGATGGCTCAGTCCCGGGCATGAGGGAGGGAGGGGTAAACCCACCCTAGAGGTCCCCAGAGCTACCCTGGCAGAGGGAAAAGTCAAAGGCCAGACCCAACTCTCGCCCTGCTTACTGGCCCTGAACTTTTCTTTAAGAGTTTTGTCTTGATGTTTGAATCTTTTTCTTTTTTGTCTTGCTCTGTGCTGGGTGGAGGCTCTGCCTCCATAGCACATGTCCAGGCACAGGAAAGCCTGGAGTCCAGGGAGGGTGGGAGAGAGTGAGGGAAGGTCCAGCTTCCAGGTCTCTGTCCCTCCTCTGTTGGAGAGGGCAGCTGTCTAGGCCAGCCTCAGCTATGTGTAGGGTTGGCGTTCAGGCCTAAGACCAGTGATCATTGGATGGGAGGGGGAGTTGTGGCTGGGAAAGCCCCAGCAGCCCATGGAGGCCTGGGGGTGGGGGCGGGGGTGGGACCAGAGTGGGCGGGGCCATGCCTCTGAGTAGACAAAGGCACAAGCAGGCCTTCTGCACACCTCCTGGGCCCACATCCAGCTCCAGGGCTGCTTTCTTGGCAGGCTGGGAGGGGCAGCAGGCAGGAAAGTGGGCAGGCAGGCAGCCCCCAGGAGCCCCTTCCTCAGGAATGGTGCACATTCATGCGCATGCACACACACGCCTGACATTAGCATGCACAACCTCCCCGACCCCTGCCTGGCTGAGAGGGGAGGGGAAGGCCGGTTCCCACAGCCCCATCTCTGCTCCTAGACCCATAGGGAACCCCAGTGGGGGAGGGGGAGGGGGAGGGCTAACTTAGGAACCGCCCCTGAGCCCCTGACCCTCCTGATCCTTCTCCTGGGCACTGGGCAGAGTCTCCAGCCCGGCTGGCCCCATGGGATAACACATGGGGGGCGAGGGGTGGGGCCCAGGTCCCAGGAAGGCACCAGGCCAGTGGGGAGAGGGAAAGGCCGCAGAGTCTTCTTGACCATGGTCAGGTGACACAGAGGGGTCAAGTGGGGCCCTTAGAGGAGGGGGACTGTGGCTGCCTTCTTTCCTCCCGGGGCCGTGACTCTGCAGCCAGGGATGGTCACTCCAGTGCCCACCACCCTTTGAGTGGCCAGGGTCCCTAGGTTCAGAAGGGGAGCCAGGAAGTCAGGGAGCAGTAGGTAGGCAGGGCAAACTGCATGGCCCAGGCTCTGTGAATGGGAGGGACCAACACAAGGGGCACCAGGCAGAGAAGGGATCATCCTCACCCTGACCTCCTCTGGGCCTCTCCCAGCTCCTTGACAGCCTCAGGCCCTGCTCAGATATATAGATAAGCCCAGCATATAACCTGAGCCAAGCCTGACAGTTTCTGTAAACAAATACAACACTGTGGGCCACCTAGGTGTGTGTGTATGTGTGTGTGTGTGTGTGTGTGTGTATGAGGGGTGTCCCCCCCAGGGGGCCGGCCAGCAGGCACCAGATCTGGGGAGGGTGGTCAGGGCATAGAATCATGGGAGAGTTCTGCTCTGTGCTGGGCCCTGGGAGAGCAGCCAGAGAGCAGTGAGGGGGAGCTAGCTTGCTCAGCGCCTGTCCCAGAACAGAGTGCCCGGATGTCCTGTGGGGAAGTCAGGCTGGGGATGGGCTGAGGAGGCTGAGTGTGGGCCTGCCTGCCCTGCCAGCTGCCCTGACCCCTTCCTGATCCTTGCCCTCTCTGTACTTTTGCCCCAGCCACCTTGGCTCTGGGGGTCCTAAGCTGAGGTAGGGATGTGGACCCCCAGCTCAGCAGCGATGCCTCAGGCCTGCGGCTACCTTGGTCCCCAGGGGCCTCTCCTCAAAGCTACCTGGCCTGGGATGGCCATCAGGTGCCCATGGGGCCCTGTGCTTTGGGCCAGGGCCTGGCTAGCGGCGGCTATGGAGTGCTAGCGTGCTGAGATGACCAGGTCATCCTGCTTGGTGGGGCTGGCCCTGTGGCCAGTGGGGGTTGAAGTCCGGATCTTGTCTACCGCCAGGCACTCCTGGCTGCTGAGGCCTGTGGGTGTCAGGTCCATGAGTTCCCCGGAGGAGCTGAGCGGGAAGGAGGGAGAGAGAGAAATGCCAGAGGAGGGATCGGCCGAGCCCGCGAAGAGCCTCGGGGGCTTGGGCACCAGGTTGGGCTCGAACTGGGCCCGGAGCAAGATCTCTTGCTGGCTGGGGGACTTGGGACCCTCGGCATAGTCGCTGGTGGGGCTCTCGGGCACCACCATGCAGTAGAGGTCCTGGAAGGAGCTGCTCTTGCTGTCCAGGTTGAAGAGGCTGTCGATGAACTCGGCGAACTCCAGCACCTGGGGGCTGGGCGAGTCCCCCAGGCGCCCGTTGTGCAGGGTCAGCTCCGCGCCGGCAGGGGGGCGCCGTCCCGACGCCCTCCGCGCCCGCCTCCTCTTGGTCCTCATTGGCCGCGCTCGGGGCCCGCTCGGGAGTGACGGCGCCGCTGCCGCTGCCCGGCGCCGCCTCCAGGGGCTGCGTGTCCTGCGAGTGCTTGGACAGGCTGTCGGCGGCCAGCAGCTCGGTGCGGGAGCTCAGGGACGGGTTCTCCTCGGGGATGGCGGGGTCGATGTAGAAGAGGTGGCCCTCGTCGCGCTCCAGCACGGCGTGCAGGCTGGGCGACCCCCGGATGCTGCGGAAGCCCGAGGAGCGGCGCGAGTCGAAGCTGTACAGGGACTCGGTGTCCGAGAGGCTCTCCATGGTGGCCAGCGGCGCGCGGCGGGCCTGCAGCTCGGCCGCCAGCCGCTCCTGCGTGGACAGCAGCAGCAGCTCCACGGGGTCCGCGCGCGCCGCCGCCGCCGCGCCCGCCGGCGACAGCAGCCGCCCCTCGGAGAAGCCCTCCAGGCTCATCTCGGACTGCGACTTGCTCCTGAGTGGGGGGGTGCAGAGTCAGAGTCAGCCCCCCCCCCGATCCCTCCCCCCCATCCCTCCCCCCGGGACGAGGAAGGGCACCAGCCCCTCAGGGCAGTGTGTGCGCATGCGTGCCCGCCATGGGCCTTCAACTGTGTGTCATGGCTGGTGCTCTACCACTTGACCCACACCTCCACTTCCAACTTTTTGGTGGTTCATTGGAGATATGAATCGTACTGTCTGACCCGCCCGGGCTGTCTCTGAAACACAAGCCTCAGATCTCCGCCTCCTGAGTAGCTAGGATTACAGGTGTGATTTTTTTTTTTTTTTAATTTAACTCCCAAGTATCCAAGATAAAAGACAAAGGTTGGGTGCTGGGTGAACTGGAGTGGGGACCTCAAGAGGCTAAGGCTCCAGAGGGGGCTTTAAGACTCTAAGAAGACCACTTGGGGGCCCAGTCACTGTATTGAGGAGAGAGACTGAAGCCACAGTGAAACATAGAGGGACCCAAGAAAAGTCAGAGGGACAGAGACAGACAGACAGACAGACAGACAGAGAGGGAGGAAGGAAGGCAGGGACAAGAGGTAGCTCCACCCCAGCTCCACTTTCAGACCAGCGCCACTCTGCTGTGTATAAAGCTCCTATTACCAGGTACCGGTGGCTCACATCTGTAATCCTAGCTACTCCAGAAGCTGAGATCTGAGGATCATGGTTCAAAGCCAGCCTAGGCAGAAATGTCCATGACACTCTATTGCCAATTAACCACCAAAAAGCCAGAAGTGGAGGTGTGGCTCAAGTGATAGAGTGTTAGCCTTGAGCAAAAAAGCTCAGGGACAGTGCTAAGACCCTGATTTTAAGTCCCAGTAATAACTCCCACCCTAGAGACTCCTTTCATTTGCTTCTTCATCCTGGGGGGCCCCCCAACTTTCCCAGGGGTGCAGCCCTATGCAGGATGGGGAGCCCTGGGGCACTGGCTCTGCAGACCAGCCTGCAGGGGATAGAGGAGTGGGTGGTAGTGCTTACTGGGGTCAAGCACAGAGCTGCCACAAGAAATGTCTGCATGCAGGAAGAGCTGTTCAAGGGTCCCTACCAAGGACCAGGAAGCAGCGGCCCCTCCCCTCAGCAATCTCTTGGAAGGACCTGTGACCACAGCGCCTCCTGGGGGGTTGGGAGAGGATCCCAGAGGCAGGACAATTCTCCAAACAGTATGTGTGAGCATGAGCAGTGTGTGGGTGATGCCTGCATGCCTGTGTGTCTAGCACAGGTAATTCATGCATTCGCACCCATAATCTGCCTGTCCAAGAGTGTCCTGTAGATCTGTACGTGCATTAGTAATAATCTATACACTCATGGCTAAAAATGGTACATACACATATGTTATGACTGCGCAGGCTCCAATGCAAGTCCATACATACACACACATGTGTGAGTGCAGATGTCCGTCTGTTTGAGTCTAACTGAGATTGGATGAATCTGTATGTCTGCAGTCTGCAGGTCTGCGTGGTTCCTCGAAATCCCCCAGCCCACATGGGGGAAACCTGAGACCCCCTCTGTGATGGCAGGTTGCAGGCTGATTGGAGCAGAGAGGGAAATTCAGCCCAGGACTCACACTGGATGGGCATGCGCACCAATGTGCATTACCCCCCCCCCACACACACACACACCACAGCCCCTGGGGGAGGGAGGGACTGGGTGGTCCTGGGCCCAGGACTTACCGGACACTGCTGTTGCGGTGGTCCGTGGCCGGCAGCTCCAGGGCCAGGCCGGTAGGCAGGGGCGGTCCTGTGGGCAGCGGCTGCTGCTGGAAGATGAGCTCAGGAGTCAGGTCCACCTCGGTGGGGCTCACCATGACCTTGGCAGCAGACAGCAGCGCTGTTTTTCCCTTGTTGTAGTTCTCTAGCACCTGGGGGGCAGGATGAGGGGGGGCTGGCATGGAGGCGCCACAGACATGAAGCTCCCAGAGCGGTGTGGTGGGGGGGGGGGCTCGCTCTTCCTCCTGAGGGGCTCTGCTCCTCAAGGCAAGCCTGGGACTTGGCACAGGATGCCCCGCCCACAAATGGAACAGGTTGGCCTATGGCTGCCCTCAGAGGAGCTGAGGAGGCGGAGCCATCCCTTGGCCTGGTAAATGTCAGGCTTCCTGTTAGCCTGGGCTTCCTGTTAGCCTGGGCCATGGACAGGCCCTGGGTGGGGGAAGGGGTGTCTCCTGGCCTCCCCATCCCTGGGGGAGCAGTCTGCCGCTCACCTTGTTGAGCCCCTCCATGACCACATAGGGCAGGTGCTCATGCAGCATGGCCGGAGAGATGATCACCTCATTGAAGGCCTTGTTGTCTCCCCAGATGGCGAAGTATGTGGGCTCCTCCTGTTCACAGCAGCTGAGGGGGACATAGGGGCCAGAGGGAAGAATGTGTGGGGGTGTCAGGTGTCTCTGCCGCATTTCCTTGCTTCGCAGGGGTTGGAGGATGGTCTGCCCCCCCTACACACACTTTGCCCCCTGCCCCATTTGGCCAGCAGGGCTACAGGCCTCCTGACTCAGGCACTGTTCTGAGCCTGGAAAGTGCTGACCTGGAGCTGCAGCGCCCCTCCTTCCCCTGTCCCCTCCAGCTGCTACAGACCTGCTCCAGCCCCATCAGGGCCTAGTGCCCAGCTCTTGGTCAAGAGAGATAGTGAATACTGCGAAGCAGGCCCAAGCTTTAAGAACATGAAGTTGAGAAAGTCTGTGTCTGGGTCCTGCTCTTCTCTTGCTCTTCACTGAGTGTTGGGCCCACACCTGCCCACAGCTGTCTGCCGACTAATTCTGGGAACACTGAAGTGAGCTGGCCAAGGCCTGACAGATAAGCAGCTGCCAAGATGCCACCCTCCCCTCCCCCGCCAACCTGGGGTTTGAACTCTGGGCCTGATCTCTGTCCCTGAGCTTTTGTGCTCAAGGCTAGCCCTCTCCCACTTGAGCCACAGCTCCACTTCCAGCTTTTTCTATGATTAATTGGAGATAAGAGTCTCATGGATTTTCCTGCCCAAGCTGGATTTGAATGCAAGTCTCAGATCTCAGCCTCCTGAGTAACTAGGATTACAGGCATGAGCCACTGGCACCCAGCTTCCTTTCTTTTCCCCCTTGCATATGTTAGGCAAGTCCTGTAACACTGAGCTACATCCTCAGGCCAACATCCACACTGTGTGTGTGTGGGGTGGTGGTGGTGTGTGTTTGGTGTGTTCATATGCCCCTGTGCTGGGGATTGAACTCCACCTTGCCTACTTATGGCTGGCATTCTACCACTTGAGCCACACCACCACTTGCAGCTTTTTGCTAGTTAATTAGATACTAGTCTCACCAACTTTCCTGCCTAGGTTGGTTTTGACCTGTGATTCTCAGATCTCCTGAACAGCTAGGATTACAGGCGTGAGCCACCACCACCCGGCCCAGTATCCACTCTTCATGGTGGAAGGGCCAGGCGGGCACCACTGGGGAGCAGCAGGGAAGGACTGACACTGAGGCTGAAGCATAGCACTGTGGACTGAGGTGCCCAGATGCTGCCCCCGTCCACACCCTGGGTGGCCATGGATCTGGAGCCCTGGGTGTCACCTACCAGCACTGCTCCGCGGGGTGGTTGTGGACCACGTGGATGATGCGGCCGGGCGGGTAGAGCGGGGTACTGGCCGAGAGGGCGATGGTCAGGTCGCTGGGATGGGTCCAGAGCCGCGTGCTGGCTAGCGTGGTCACCTCCATCTCCTCGGGCAGCTCTGACTTAGGGATGCACTTGGTGGCCCCCACGATGATCCGCCACTGTGGGGGGGGGGCAGGGAGAGGCAGTGGGGGCTGAGCAAGGCTGGCTGGCTGGGCAGGGCTGGGGTGCTCAGGAAGGCTCAACAGGTGGGGGGGGGGGGATGTGAAGGGGCAGAAGGGATTGTGGCCAGGGCATTAAAGGTCGGTGCCCACCTGAAGAGGCAGTGGCTGAAGTGTACGGTGGCCAGATGGCCAATAAGATGCCAAGGACAGATGACATGGAATTGTTGAATTTCATGGCTGGCAAGGGGCTGGGGGACCAGCCAAGCCCTCATCTAGTGGATGGGAGACAGGCCCAGTGAGGGAAGGGACTTGTTCTAGATCATTCCGCAAGTTGGAGGCAGAATTGACCTCAGTTTGATCAGGTTGTACCTGCTAGGCCTGGCCAGGTCTGGGTCAGGTCCCAGATACTTGACTCCAGGTACCATGAATGCCCAGGTCAAGCCCTGGTAGAGACAATGCCTCTTGCCCAGAGCTGGGTCCTCTAGACAGACACAGACCGGTGAAGCTAGGCTCTCCTGCCCACCACCTGGCACCTGGCACTGGACCCCGGGCTCTGCTGCCAGAAGGTCACAGACACCAGGGCTGGGAACAGCACTGACAGGCTGAGGTACTGAGTGGGGCTGAGGGCACTCCTGAAGGGGCCAATGAAGATGGACATTCTGAGTGGGCTCCTGCTTCTGCTGGCCTATGCCAGGGCCACAGCACCCAGCCTCGCTCCACACTCCTGGTGCCAATGGCCTGCTAGGTACAGACTGGGGAGAGCTGGCCCTCTCCTCTTGACTCCAGCAGAAGACGGGAGCAGACTGCATCCTCCCCATAGAGCACCCAGCCTTCTTGGGGCCTAGGCTTTACCTTGCAGGCTTTGAAGAAAGGCTCTTTTTTTTTCTTTTGTGCCAATCCTGGGGCTTGAACTCAGGGCCTGGGTTCTGTCCCTGAGCCTCTCTTGAGCCACAGCACCACTTCCACCTTTTTCTGTGTATGTGGTACTGAGGAATCAAACCAGGGCTTCATGCATGCTAGGCAAGCACTCTACCACTAAGCCACATTCCCAGCCCAGAATAAACGGCTTTTCTTGCCCACTCCAAATATGGCCGCTCAAGGATCAGATGAGTTCAGACAGCTCAGTGTAGTCCATCCTTGCTCTTCCAAGTCTGACACAGTTGAGGCAGGGCCCTCCCACACTGGGCCCGGGCCTCAGTTTCCCCACCTGTCCAAGGACAGGGGCTGGATGGACTGAGCTTAGAGACTGAGGGTTTGAGGTTTCCAGATCCACAGTGGGGCCCTTTGTGCTTTGTCCTGGGGGATCAGCGGGGAACTCCAGGACAGGGACAGCTAGGGCTGCCCCAAGGCCAGAATGCCAGGCAGGAGCTCACTTTGGGCTTGGTGCTGCGTTGTAGGACATCCAGGAGCTGGCGACGAAAACCTTCCAGCTGGGACAGGCCGATCCTGGGGCAGGGGCAGACAGAGAGAGAGAGAGAGAAACAGAGAGAGAGAGAGAGAGGTGTCAGTCTGGCCTGGCCAGGGCTGGGAGGGGAGTGGAGGGAAACAAGGGAGGGGGTGAGGGGGTAGAGTGGGCTGGCCTGTGCCTGGCTACCACTGACAAGGCCAGTCTACCAGGTTGGAGGTAGCATGGAGTCTGTAGCTCGGCGGAGGGGAGCGGAAGAGAGGTGGAGCCAAGCAAGGTACGGGTGCCTGCGATGACATACGTGTGTGTGTGTGTGTGTGTGTGTGTGTGTGTGTGTGTGTGTGCATACAGGTACTAGGGCTTGAACTCACAGTCTAAGTGCTGTCTGTTAGCTTTTTCATTCCAGACTGATGCTCTACCACTTGGCCTAATCCATTTCCAACTTTTTTTTTCTTCTGCTGGTTCATGGGAGATAAAAGTTTCACAGATAAGAGACCTCTGCCTGGGCTGGCTTTGAACTGCAATTTTCAGATCTCAGTCTTTTTTATTGTTGTTGTCGGTCGTGGGGCTTGAACTCTGGGCCTGGGCGCTGTCCCTGAGCTCTTCAGCTCAAGGCCTGCGCTCTACCACTTAAGCCACAGCGCTACTTCTGGTTTTCTGGTGGTTCATTGGAGGTAAGAGTCTCATGGACTTTCCTGCCCCGGCTGGCTTTGAACCGTGATCCTCAGATCTCAGCCTCCTGAATAGTTAGGATTACAGGTGTGAGCCACCAGCGCCTGGCCTGAGTAGCTAGGATGACTGGTGTGAGCCGGTGGTGCTGGGGGTAGGAGGATCCGCAGGGAGATGAAGAGTGGGGTGGGGGGCTTGGGGCTGGGGACGGGGTTGGGGTTCACCTGGGGACGAGGTCTTTGCCCAGTACCACGGCAGTCACAAACTCCTTAGAGTACTCCATGGCGTCCTCGCTGTGGGAGAAGGGGGAGGGAGGGAGGAAGGAAGGTGTTCAGGCATGGATCAGGGGCATGGCGGGAGCCCCAGCATCCCCGGGGTGGGCGGCGACGCCACTGAGCTCCATGTCTTCTGGGGGGCCCACCACACTCCATGCACGGGGCCATTCCCAGCCCCTCCCTGTGACCGGAAGTTGGGCGGCCCCAGTCTAGCCCCACCAGCCCTCGATGGCTCCAGTCATACCAGCCTACTCCAGGGCTGCTCACCTCAGCAGGCCCCCGGGGGGTGAATAGGCGAAGCACTTGAGGGTTGGGTACTGCGGGCGCAGGAGGAAGGAGAGGATGGCGGCTGTGCCCGCGCCCAAGGAGTGGCCCACCACAATCAGGCCGTAGTGTTTGGTTCCGCGGCCCTGGGCACCAAGAGAAGCCTGAGAGCCATGCCCTGCTGCCTGCCAAGCTCAGTGCCCCAGCTGACACCAGGGAGGCAGAGGACTTTCTGCAGAGTCCTGGGATCAAGTCTGTCCTGCATGGATGCTGGTCCCCACAGACTGCTTGCTTAGGGAGACTGTATTCACGAACTCCTACTCATCCTTCAAAACCTTGCTCAGAGGTTCTTCCTTGGGGAAGCCCTCCCTGATTTTCCACACCCTCCTCGGCATTGCATCTCTGAGTGTCTATTACTATAATGATTATCGTCTATGCTAACCATTAGGCTACCCCTCCCCCTCCCTCTTCCTTAAGTTACTAGTGGAGTCTGCAGGGTCAGGGAAGGGGCAGCTGGCAGTGCCTCAGTTGCTGCCTGTGCGGGGTGGGGGGAATGGGGTGGGGGTCCGGGTTCAGATTGCCAAGCAGAGCTGCTGCGTGTCGCTGTCATTCTGCTCTCCATTTTGAGTGCTCCACTAAACTTTCTTTTGGAACAAATGGCTCAGCGCTGAGCAGGCAGGGAGCAGGTACTGGGTACCTGGGTGGGGTGCACGGGACATCTCCAGGAGCTGTCTGCGGGACAGAGCTGGGGGAGGGGCAGCAGGGGCCTCAGGCTGGAGGGGTGGGGGGCACGGAAGACGCCTCACCAGGTCCCGCCCGAAGGCCTGGGACAGGACCATCTCCTGCTCCAGCTTCTTTTTGATGTACTCGGCGGACAGCACCATGCCCTGGCGAGAGGAACAGGTGACCACAGTGACTGAGGCCCATGGACCCTGCCCTACGCCATGCTCCCCTGGGGTCAATCCCAGAGAGGAGGAGACAGAGGCTCAGAGGGCAGCATGCCCAGGACACACTGGTGTGATCTGGGCACCACAGCCTCCCCAGGCCCCCTTGCCCTCCTGGGAAAGGGCACTCCTGTTCTGGGCTGTGTGTTTGTGTGTGTGTGTGTGTGGGCATCCCATGGAGATGGGCCACAGGAACCTTCCAGACTAATGCACAGCTCTCTGACCAGTCTCTCCCAGTGGCCCAGCAAGCAGTAAAGTCCCCTGGTGTGCGCATGCGCAAGTACGCATGTACACACACGCAGGCCAAGGGGCTGGGGAAGAGAAGGTCAGGGGCCCTGAAGGCACACAGAGTGGGTACCTTATGTCCTAGCCAGGTGCCTCGGTGCCCCTCCACGGGGAGACGCTCAGCATCGCCGGTCAGGTCGGTCAGGGCATCCTGGGGGGTGGGGGTGGGGGGGAAGGGGCAGGTGAGAGGAGGCTGAGGAGGATGGGAATGGGGAGGCTCTGAGGGCCCCTGGGGGGAGCCATGGGCAGCATACCTTTGGGGACAGGGTTCCCCTGATACTGATCACCACTTTCTTCTTGTCATGGTCCACTGCCACGTAGAAGGGGGTTTCGTAGACCTAGGAGGTGGCAGCCCATGAGCCCCAGAACCCCGGCATGGGGCTAGACTTAGACGGCATGACACTAGCTGTCTGTCTTCCTGGCTAAGAAATCCTCCGGCTCCTGTGACCTGGGAACCCCTTCAGGTCTGCCAAGACCGGGGTTCCTGGGACCTCTGGGCACCCCAGTTCACGGCCTCCCCGCTTTGTGTTTTTCTTTTCTCATTTCCTTAAGGCTGGGCAGGAAGAGCCCGATGCTACACACAGGGTAGGTAACCCCCTTCCGCAGCCCGGGATGTGGAAGAAGAGGGGCTGCCCCGGCCCAGCCCACGGTGGGCAGGCTGCAGTGCCCCCCCCCAGGCCCCTCACCCCACCCCACCGCACCGCACGGCCCCCGCCTGGCCCTCACCGCGTCGTGGCAGGAGGTGTAGACAATGTCCACCGCTGTCATGTTCTCGTCCAGAAAGTGGCGGCGGATGGCGATGGCATTGCAGCCACAGCAGTTGTCTTCCTCGATGGTGACTCCGGGGGCGAATCGGGGCCGTGCTGGGCACAGGCAGCATCTGGGGAGCGGCGGCCATGAGCTCAGGGCCGGGGACCCCTGATAGGGCTTTTTTTTTCTTTTCTTTCAGTCATAGGGCTTGAACTCTGGGCCTGAGCGTTGTCCCTCAGCGCTTCATCTACCACTTGAGCCACAGCACCACTTCTGGTTTTCTGAGTGGTTAATTGGAGATAAGAGTCTCACAGATTTTCCCACCTGAGCTGGCTTTGAACCGAGATCCTCAGATCTCAGCCTCCTGAGTAGCGAGCATTACAGGAGTGAGCCACCAGCACCTGGCTTGATGGGGCATTTTTCTCCTCCATCTTCTCTGGATGGGGCTCTAGTTTCTCTCTCTCTCTCTCTTTCTCTCTCTCTCTCTCTCTCTCTCTCTCTCTCTGTGCTGATCCTGGGGTCTTGAATTCAGGACCTGGGTGTTGTCCCTGGGCTTTTTGGTGCAAGGTTGGAGCTCTGCCACTTGAGCCACAATTCCACTTTCAGCTTTTTTGGTGCTTAATTGGAAATAATAGTCTCATGGACTTTCCTTCCCCAAGCTGGCTTTGAATTGCAATCCTCAGATCTCTCAGCTTCCTGAGTAGCTAGGATCATAGACGTGAACCACCGGCGCACAGTTTCCAGTTGGATTTCCAGTCCCATCTGGTCTCCAGAGTCATCTTTGCCTTGTCCCCGGTGACCATCATGCTCTCATACTCACCAGTCACCTCTGGCTCCCAGCACATGATCTCTGAGAAGGCCCTGGCCCACAGGTCCATCTCCAGTTGGCTGAAAACGCCTCCTCTTCCAGTCCCTTCCTGGACTGGCCCTCCTCCCTGGCTTGTTCTCTGTCACCAAGGGTTCCAAGTCTAGCTTGAGCCTCCTCTTCTCTCTAGCTATGCATCCTGTCTGCAACGGTTCCAAGTCCAGGCCCTGGGACCAGCTTTCCCACTCCTCCCCCTCAGATCCCCCATATCCTCAGGAGCTGGGCTTTGTCTCCAGGTACAGCACCAGCTCCTGCCTGTGCTTTCTCCCCTCTCTCTTTGCCTGGGTGTCCCTCCCTGTCTGGCCTCCCTCATCCACAGCTGCCCAGGGTTCTCCACTCAGCAGCACCGTGACCCTTTATAAAGAAGGTCAAACCAGACCCCATAATGGTGCCCTCCTTACCTAGCTTAAGAACCTTGGTCCTACTGAGGCCTGAGGCTCTGCCTACCTGGCTATGTTCTGATGGGGCTTCCCCATCTCCCCCATCTACTCTGACACACAATAGACTTTCTTTCTGCATATTGCCTCAGCTGGGGCTCCGCGGGGCAGGGGCTCTCCCCTGTGCTCATCACAGCTGTGTCCCCAGTACAAATCTGCCAGGCACAGGGGAGGCTGGCTGGCTGAGCCAGCTCTGAGCCCCTAGTTTGGACTGCAGTTCCAACACAGGCCACCAGAGGGAGCCTGTATCCAACGGATCAGCCCAGCCCGGGAGTGACCCGGGTTGTCAGTTGACTTAAGCTGCCAGCGGAGTGAGATTTTATCAACACCACCAGGATTTTGGTGAGACTGAGACATTTTTCTTCTCTCAAGGGTCATGGAACTGTTGCTTCTCAATGGAGAAACTCTGGAGTTAATCCAAAGTCTGGAAGCCAACCAGAATGCTCACCAGAGAGCGGGGCCAGTCACCCACTAGCAGCTTCCACACCACCAGGGCAAGTGCTGGTGGTGGTGGGCCCCGAACTCCTGCCCTCTGTCCCCTGCGTGGAGCCTGGCTCTGTAGTGATACGGCCTTGCACTTAGGACTGTACTTGAAACTCTTCCTGACAACGTCACTTCTTGATTTTATAGGCCTGGAGGGCACTGCCCCACCAGCCCCTTGGCCTCCCCTGCTGTATGAGTGGAGGGCTGGCAGCTGCTTCCCAGGGGGATGCTGGGAAACCAAAGGTCCAGCACATGCAGGTGCTTCGTAAGGGTGAAGCCCTGCCCTAACTGAACCCTCTCAGGGCCAAGGACTCTGTTCTCTCTCTCCCATTCAGTATGGAGAAGGCTGATAGAGCCAGGTGCTAGTGATCGCCCTGTAATCCTAGCTACTCAGGAGGTGAGATCTGAGAATCCTAGTTCAAAGCCAGCCTGAGCAGGAAAGTCTGTGATGTGAAAAAAAAGCCAAGGGAGAGTGTGAAGCTCTGAGTTCAAGCCTCAGTACCAGCACAAGAAAAGAAAAAGAAGCCCGTTGCTGGCTGGTGGCTCACACCTGTCATCCTAGCTACTCAGGTCTGAGGATTGCAGTTCAAAGCACAGCCTCATCTGCAGGACTCTTGTCTCCAATTAAACGCCAGAAAACCGGAAGTGGAGCTGTGGCTCAAAGTGGTAGAGTGCTAGCCATGAGCAAAAGCGCTGAGAGAGCCCAGGTCCTGAGTTCAAGCCCCACAACTGACCACACAAAGCAAAAGAAAAAGGGGAAAAAAAGAAAAAGAACCAAGTCCCAAGAGCCAGTAGCTTTCCCAGGAAAGAGCAGGCGTGACTCTGGTGGTCCCTGGGGTGGGGTGAGGGGAAGCAGCTGACCTAGAGGCCAGCCTTTCTGGAACACGAGTCCAGGGAGCTGTCCTGCTTCTCCCTGGCATGGACTGAGGGCGGAGCCGTCATGAGAGAGGGTCCTTCCTGGAGCCCTTCTCTGGCCCACTTAGGAATGCAGAGCCCTCCCCCCTAGCCCCCACGCCCTGAGCCAGGCTGCAGCCAGATCTGTGGCTGAGGCCTTCCCCAGGAGGGGAAAAGAAATTGGGGCTTCTTGCTAAAGGGCCTTCTGGATGCCTTTCTAGAACCTTCCATAGAGTAGGCCTCCCTTCCAGGACAATTTAATTCTAGAAAAGCAGTGCCCAGGAGAAGAGCCAGAGATGGAGAGAGGTGAATAGAAGGGAAATGGATGGCGTGTGTGTGTGTGTGTGTGTGTGTGTGTACAGAGAGAGCCAGAGGGGCAGGGAATGAACAAAACCAGCAGGGTCTCAATCACCCATTTCACAGGTCCCTGTGAGGTGTACCGACTTCCCCCAGGCTGCAAGGGATGGTCTGGATTCCAAGCCAGGCCCCAGTGGGGTACTCACGAGCAGGAGCGAGCCAGCTGGCACAGGCCGCAGGCGGGCTTCCGCATCAGGTACATGGGCCAGCCGTAGGCCGCCAGGGCGAACAGCATGTAGTAACAGACTTCCTTGTAGCGCAGCATCTCGTGCTGGAAGACAGGACGCAGGGGAAGGTGGCCCCCAGACCTTCTGTCTGTGGCCTCTGCTCAGCTGGTCCCGGAGGTGGGACAGCAGGGAAGGGGCGTGGAGGAGGCAGGGTACCTCCACATACACATGTGCCCAGGGCATGTATTCTCCTGAGTCCCGTCCTGGTAGCTCCAATCTCTGAATTAATGATTGGGAGACAGAAAATTCACTTGGAGCATGAGATCGATTACCTGGCTTTTTTTCCCCCCTCCAGGAAAGGCGGGGGGGGGGGTGAGGGGAAGGGAGCATGCGTAGCTCACAACCCCATTCTAGCAATGGAGTCCCAGGAAAGGGCTTTGCTGTCAGGGAATTAACTTCTCTCTGTTCTGACTCATGAAGTCTCAGCCTCGAGGCTGGGGTGTGGGGGTGTGGAAGGGAGGGGTCAGGGAGATTGGGGTCATTCTAGAGAAAAAGGCACAGGTTGGAAACTTGGAGAGCCTAAAGTGTGGTGGCTGGAAAACCTGTGTTATCAGCATCCTGGGCTGGAGAGAAAGAGAGAGAGAGGAGAGAGAGAGAGAGAGAGCATAGAACTGGGAACCACAGGGTCCTGGCCAGTCAGTTCCACGTGCCCCTGGGCACCGGAGGACGGTGGCACTTACAGGGAATTAGTCACCTTGTCAGAGTGAACGAGGACGATTAGTCATCTCGAGAAGTCAGGCCGGCAGGCCTTCCTCAGTGCCCCAGGGGTAATTATGCCATGCCTGAGCTCCCTGGTGGGCGGGGCTCTGGCAGCCTCTGCCCTGCCCCGCCCCTCCCCTAGCGGGGCACGCCAGGCCCCTGGCCTGGAGACTGGCAGGAACACCTGTTACACCGGCTTTGGTGAATGGAGCAGAAGGAAACCTAGGCTTTTCTGAAGGACAGATGGAGATCACCCAAGGGTGGCGCTGGGCCCGGTGCTCCTGGGGCTGGGCTTAGGACTCCCTCACGCCCTCACTGTCCCCTGGAGCTCTGGGTGGGGTGTGTGCTCAGGGCAGGGACCGGCTCAGAAGGACGAGGACTTGCTCTGTGGTTCGGCCACAAGGCCATTCTTCCTGTTGCCAGCTATGGTTTGAGGCTGCACCACAGTGCCCTGGGCTGGGCACGGTGCCATGGGCCCAGCTCTTCTTTAAGCCCTGGGATTTCAACCCAAGGCACTTGAGAGAAGGTTCTAGAAAGTCCGCTTTGCCCCAGTGCACTTCTCGCTAGCAGTGGTTTTCCCAGCTCACGGTGCAATAGCTTGGTGCCCAGTGTCGGGTGGGGTGGGGGGGCACTTGGGGGTGATGTGAGGAGGGGCTTCTGGGAGGGCTGATGGCAGTGGGGGAAGAGGATGGAGGAGCTGGGGCCTTGTGACTCACCGAGTTCTTGAGGTCCAGGTACTTGGTGTTTCTGGTCACTGGCATCCCGGATAGGAAGGCCAAGATATCATTGTTTGCCTGACAAATCCAGACACAGGGCTAAGAAAGAGGTTGCAGCCCTGGGCACCGCCTGTTTCCCAAAGATCCCAGGGCCCCAGAGAGTGAGTGGGTGGTATGCAACAGGCAGCAATTCCCTTGTATTTCTAGTTGTTCCCTGTCAACCCAAAGCCCCAGGCCCCAAGGGGACTCCTGGCCCACACCCAGGGGAAAGGGATTTGGGACAGACTGGCAGAGCCGGAACTGGTGTGCTGGCAGAGATAGAGCAGTAAAGCCAGAGGTCAAAAGCACCAGGCTGGCAATGGTCACCAGGGGTCCCTGTGATTAGAAATCCTTGGAAGGTGGGGCATGGTGGTACATGCCTGAAATGCCCGCTGCTTGGAAAGCAGAAATTAGGAGGATCGTGGTTTAATAGCCAGCTGAGACAAAAAAATAAAAAACGACTCCATCTCAAAGAACAAGCTGCATATCATAACATAAACCTATAGTAATTCCAGCCACGTGGAAGGCATTGTTAGGAGGATCCCAGATTGAGGCTGGCTACAGGCAAAGAACTGGAGAAAATAAAGAAAAAAGTAGGTCAGGCACCAGTGGCTGGTACCTGTAATCCTGCTACTCAGGAGGCTGAGCTCTGAAGATCAAAGAGTTCAAAGCCAGCCCAGGCGGGAAAGTCCGTGAGACTCTAATCTCCCAAGAAGGCGGGAAGGGAGCTCTGGCTCCAGTGGTAGAGCACTGGTTTTAAGCAAATGAGATAAAGGACAGTGCCCTGGCCCCAAGTTCAAGCCCCAGAAGGGCTTGGCCCCAAAGGGACAGTCCAGACGGGGAGTCACTCAAACAGGAGGCACCCGGGCGTTTCTTTAGCAGTGATGGAGGGCAGCCAGTGGAGAGACTTGATCCCAGGAGGCTGGAGGCGGGCGGAGCGACCACAGGGAGGGGCCGGGGGCGGGGCGACCACAGGGAGGGGCAGGAGGCGGGGCGGCCACAGGGAGGGGCAGGAGGCGGGGCGGCCACAGGGAGGGGCAGGAGGCGGGGCGGCCACAGGGAGGGGCCGGGGGGCGGGGCGGCCACAGGGAGGGGCCGGGGGGCGGGGCGGCCACAGGGAGGGGCAGGAGGCGGGCGGCCACAGGGAGGGGCGGGAGGCGGGCGGGGCTACGTGAAGGGGCAGAGGCGGGGCCGGGGGCGGGGCCACAGGGAGGGGCGGAGGCGGGGCCGGAGGCGGGGCGGCCACAGGGAGGGGCGGAGGCGGGGCCGGAGGCGGGGCGGGGCCACAGGGAGGGGCGGGAGGCGGGGCAGGGGCCATAGGGGGCGGGGGCGGGGCTGGAAGCGGGGCGGGGCCACAGGGCGGGGCGGGGCCACAGGGAGGGGCGGAGGCGGCCCCAGCGCCCTCACCTCGTCCAGCACCGCGTTGCGCTTGGCTCGCTGCCGCTGCCGGAGCAGCACCAGGCCAGCAATGATGTCAGACGGCACAATGTCCAGGTCCCGGAAAAACTCAGCGAAGAGGTAGGCGATTTCCGAGTAGGCATCCTGTGAGATTCAGGAAGGCAGGGGGCAGGGGCAGAGGGACAGAAGAGGCCGAGAGACCAGGAGTGAATCCCCCAGGGCAGGTGTCCTGTGGCACCTGCGCAGCCCGGCCCAGGCGCGCCCAGCTGGCTCTGGGCAGCTGTGACCTTGAGCGCCCCGGTTCTGCAGGCCTGGCGGGAGTCAGCCACACTGAGCCTCTTCCACGGCCCAGGCCTCTGCTCTAGATGCCAGCACGCGGCTCAAGCATCCACCCAGCCTGGGAGCCAGCCGGAGCCACTGCCCCTTAAACAAACTAGGAACCAAGGTGCCATGGCTCAGCTTGTTCTACGGGCTGTGTCGAGCAGAGAAGCCATAGGAAGCATTCAGCAATCACCCCACCATCTAGGATCCTGGAAGCCCCCCCTCCCCAGCCCCTGCCAAGGACTCTGGAGCCCCACACACAATGTTCAGTGGTGCCCATGATGTGGTTGAGAAGGGGTGTGATTGCTGGACCAGTAGCCTCTCTGCTTCCTCCAGGCCCTGTCCTCAGCAGGGACATAGGTAAAGACGAGTCCCACTGGTCAGTGGCTCTAAGACTCCCTGCCTCTCACTACCCTGGGGCCTGAAGCCCCGGAAGATGCCAAAGGGGAACAAACTCAGCAACTGGCCATGCTTCTCTGGTCTCCTGCTGGGATGTCTAGCATGTGGAAGAGAGAGAAAGAGAGAGAGAGAAAAAAAAGAAATCTAAAGTTGAAGACTCAAAGGCCCAAGAAGGCCACACACAGTGTGGGCCACTGCCCACAGCTCCAGCTGGCGGCCCAGAGGGACTGAGGCGCTAGACTTGGAAGTATGGTTTATGTAAATGACAGATTTTTAAATCGATGGGACAGCTCTCAGAAGCTGGGAGCCGGTGGCTCACACCTGTAACCCTAGCTACTTAAAAGGCTGAAACCCCTGGGGGTCCCAGTTTGGAGCCAGCCCAGGCAGGAAAGTCCATGAGACTCTTATCTCCAATTAAGCACCAAAAAGCCAGAGGTAGAGTGTGGCTTGAGAAACAGAGTACCAGACTTGAACAGAAAAAGCCAAGAGACAATGCTCAGGCCTTGAGTTCAAGCCCTAGTATCTAAAACCAATATGATCCCCCTCCCCAAAATAAACCAAAAAACAAATCCCCAAACTAACAACAAACAAAAATTACTCAGAGCCAAGCGTGGTAGTATATCCCTATAATCCCAGCTGCTTGAGAGGAAGAAGTAAGTCTACTGTTGAAGGCCTGCCTAGGCAAAAGCTTATAGATCCTATTAAAAAAAAAACAAACAAAAAACAAAGGAAAAGCAAAGGGACTGGTCAATGTTCAAATGGTAGAGTGCTTGCTTAGCAAGCATGAGTTCAGTCCCTAGCCCTGCCATCCCCAAAGTTTGTTGTTGTTGTTGTTTATTTTTTAAAAACACTTGGACTGGACCTGTTCCTAGGGCAGTCCCTGGCTATAGTCCATTTCTACCTGGATTGATACTCAGAAACTCCCCTGAGACATGTGTCCTTGGTTTCAAGCTCTAACAACAACCCCATCTCTACACGTGGGTCCAGGAGGGGCATGAGTGCCTTCCATCAGCCTTGACAAACCTAGCCTCCATCTATCAGGGGACCACTCCTTGCATGACTGCCTGTGACCCCTCAGACCTCTCCGGACAGACCCCAGACATGCTCCCCACCTGCCCAGCGTGCCTCGGGTCTTCCTCTATGGCCTCCCTGACCACGTGGCTCACCAGGAGTTGCTGGCGGCAAGGTTTCCAGTGGCTTCTGAGGAGCGCACTTTGCTCTCTGCCTCGGGCACAAGGGGGTCTTCTGACCTCACTAGCTCTGTTACTCACTTGCTGGGGGGAAACTGAGCAAATCACACCCCTATCTGGGCCCCCAGCTGCCTAATCTGCAAAACTGAATGATAGGCTAAGTCATCTCTAAGGTTCCTGTCTCTTTTTCTATCCTCGGGGCCGTCTGTGGCTGACTGTGCTTTCCTTCCACAGTACTCATGTGTCTGGATCTCCGTTTGCATCAACCGAACTGATGTCCAGCCCCATGCAGAGCACTTGACAGTGAGTCCAGACTTTCCAGATCATTTGCTGCTGACAAATGGACCCACTGTTCTTGTCTGGAGGTTGCCTGACCCGTGAGCATTTGTCCGAAACTAAAGGCATTGTGTCTTTCTGTTCCTCTGACAAAGCAAGTGGACAGCTGCTTTCCCGGCTGGGGGAGCTGGTCAATGGAGAACAGACCGTCGTACAAGCAGGCTGTCACCTGCTCACACGCAAAGCCCAGTACCTCTTGCCCAATCCTGTCCACCCTGCTTTGCCAAAGGGGCAAAAGGGTCTGCATCGCCGGGCATGGGCCTGCAGGGAGCCACCTCCCAGTACTTACTGACTGGGAGTCCTTGGTCCGGGTGCAACAGAGGAACACTTTGAGCCGCCGGGACCAGCTGGTGGCCTGACCCTCCTCCAAGCGGTGCCTGTGGAGACAGAGAGAGACCGGATATGCCAGGTCAAAGGCTGGAGCACACGAGCTGGGCCCAGATGCAGCCTGTTCCTAAAGGGCTGCCGCAGAGAAGCTTGGGGAGGGAACAGGGTCCAGGCCTAGCCAAGGCTGGGTGGTCAGTGACCCAGGTTTCAGCCATCCAAGGCACTCCTGGAGGGGGCTCCTGTTGGCTTAAAATCATGAGCTGGCCAGGCACTGGTTACGCCTGTAATCCTAGCTACTAAGGAGGCCGAGATCTGAGAGTTTTGGTTTGAAGCCAGTGCAGGCAGGAAAGTCCATGAGACTCTTATCTCCAGTGAACCACCAGAAAACCGGAAGTGGAGCTGTGGCTCAAGTAGTAGAATGCTAGCCTCATGCAGAGAAATAAAAAATAAAATAAATAAAGTTCAGGGACAGTGCCAAGGCCCAGAGTTCAAGTCCTAGGACCAGAAAAAGTAAAAAGAAAATTCATGGGCCATTGGTTTGGGGGTACGGGAGGGGGGGGCTCCCTGACTTTTGGAAGACTGACTCAAAGCTGTGCCTGGGGAGGGGCTTCAGAATTATGATGCCAAAGTAAAAGATGGCTCTGCTGTCCCAAGGCTCCAACCAGGAGCTCTGGGAGAGGTGACCAGGCTTGGGTCTCTCTGTCCTTCTGTTCCAAGGGCTGGGACAGACCTGTCACACAGATCTGCGTTTCCCCCCTTCTCCCCCCACAAACGAATGCAGAAGCTCATTATATTCCACTTAGAAGAACTTAACAATGGCAGCAACATCAAATATACATAGCAGTCTCCAACTGAACAAGGGGCTGGCTGGCTTCCCTGCTGCCCTGCTGCTGGGGCTGTCAAGGGGGCCGGAGAGGTTGGCCCTCCAGTGCATTCACGGCACTTAGCAGTGATCAGGAGTGACGGGTCTGGCTGTCCTGGAGCAGCCAGGGTCTGCTCAGCACTCTTTAACCCTGGCTCCACAAGGCAGCTTTCCAGAAGGAGGAGAAAACGGGGTCGTCCAGAGCTACAGGAGGTGCTTAGGAACTGGTCCTAGGACCAGCTGCCCCTGGGGACTCAGGCAGCCTTGTATCCTGAGCCAATGTCTTCTCTTCCAGGGGCTTGATGAGGCGACAGTATACTGGCCAAACTAGGGTCCCAGTGCATTCAGATCTTTAACGTTTTCTAACCCAACGGGACTTGCAAATGTAATAACAAGGAGGATTTGCTGCCTGGCTTGTGGCCAGATGGAAGCACTCTACCGTCACAGCAGTACCCTTGATAGACACCAGGGGCAGCTGATCTTAGCGTGTGAGGCCGGTGACAGGTTTAGTTAAGCAGGGGGCCACATACCAAGTCTGGACAGATAGTCATGGTTTCCAACAGTCCACTAAAGAGGAAGGACAGACATTCCTTCTGCAAAAACCCAAAGCTGGGGCTCTGGGAGCAGTGCTGGGGAAAGTTCCCCTTCTCCCCAGCCTCCACCAATTTGCTGGAAAGAGTCAGGGCCAAGGCCTCTAACAATACACCCAACATCCAACCCAAACCAAAATAGGTGTGGGGTGAGCATGTCTCTACACTGGGAAGTTGCTGGATTGAAAATGTCCTGGCTTGGAATAAAACGACACAAAACGTGGTAGCTTCATAGCCAGTGGGGGAGACCCCAGGGAGAATCTGAAGGAGCTCCCACAGGTAGAGGGGCCTGGAGGCTCTGGCCTCTTACCCACCTTCACACGGTTTAGAAACCATGGAAAGCTTTCTTTCTTTCTTTCTTTTTTTGGAGGTGGGGGGGTGGTACCTGGGCTTGAACTCGGGGCCCAGGTGCTGTCACTTATATAGCTTTTTTGTTGTTGTTGCACAAGGTTAGCACCCTACTCTTTGAGCCACAGCTCCATGTCTGGCATTTATTTTGCTAATTAGCTAAGACTCACAGATTTTCCTGCCTCCTGACTTTGCGCCATGAACCTCAGATCTCAGCCTCCTGAGTAGCTGGGAGTCAACAGGCCAGGTGGGCGCCATAGAAAGTTTTCTACTTAAAGTTATAGCAACTGTTAATGCCACTAGCAGGGGGCTGTGTGCCCTGGGCTTTAAAGGCAGCATCTTAAGAGCCAGAAACCAGGTCGGGTGGGGGCAGGCCCAAGCAGAGTGGCATCCGGGTGGGGGAGGGGGAGGGTGTTGGCCAGTTCAGCTGGGAGGGGAAATGGGCTGTAGGGCCTTGGCTTTGAGACTTGACATTTGGGACTGGGTGGTGACAAGCCCAGGCCTGGGTGTGTCTCTGATGAGCTGACGTGGAAGAAAGTCCATGGGGAGCCCAGTATGGAGGCGTGGGGGTGGGGAGAAGGCCTGAGGGGCGGGGCCTGGGCTGCTGGGCCTGATGCTGAGCGGGCTGCACTGAGCTGGGGATCCGGACCCACTTCAACCACCCCGGTACCACTGCGACCTTTCTTGGTGGATCACGACTGTCCTGGGGCTGGCAGAAGGGATTAACGGGTCCCCCTCTGCCGAGCTCAGTGCTGGGGGCCTGTGCCACAGTAGGAGTTTAATTCTCAGGGGTTATGGTGACCACCCCACCCTCTTCTTTAAGTAACAGGAGTCAAACCCTCCCTCTCCAAGTCGGCCCAGGCACAGCCTTCCCCTTCCTAAAAAACACCACACAAGGGCTGGGAAGGTGGCTCAGTGGTAGAGTGCTTGCCTTGCATGCATGAGGCCCTGGGTTCGATTCCTCAGCACCACATATACAGAAAAAGCCGCAAGTGGCGCTGTGGCTCAAGTGGTAGAGTGCTAGCCTTGAGCTGAAGAGCTGAGGGACAGCGCCCAGGCCCAGAGTTCAGGCCCCACAACCGGCAAAAAAACAAACAAACAACAAAAAAAAAACACCACACAAAACTCACCCCCTCCAGGAAGTCCTCCTGGATTAACTTCCTCCAAGTCTCTGAAACCCAGGCAGTCCACAAGCCTACTGGACAAGGGAGGGCCCTGAAGGCTTAGTTCCCAGTCTCATCACAGATGTGCTGCATAGCTTCAAAAAGGTCACATGACCCATCTGTGCCTCGGTTTCTCCATCCTTGTTATGAACAAGCCAGTGACAACTACCTCATGGGCAGCCGTCACTTACCCTGTCCGTGTTTGGTTAGATTTCTAATGTCTCCTACTATAATGACAGTGCTGGGGCTTGAACTCAGGGCCTTCCATTCTTGCTTAGCTTTTTTTTTTTTGATCCAAGCCCTCTTCCACTTGACCCACAGCTCTACTTCTGGCTTTTTTTTGGTTGTCATTGGTTACTTAGAGATAAAGAGTGTCATGGACTATCCTGCCTGGGCTGGCTTCGAATCGAGCTCCTCAGATCTCAGCCCTCTGAGTAGCCAGGATTACAGGCGTGAGCTACAGACTCCTGATGATGCCACTGTTGCCATTTCCTAAGCTGTTCCAGGCATGCGCCTCTTACGATGTTGACCACACTGCTTTGTATGTGTTATCTCATATAAGTCTCCAGACAACCCCGTGGGGGCAGGAACTGCGATTCACAGACAAAGAAACGGAGGCAGGCAGAGGGGAAGTCTCTCACACACCCACAGCCTGGCTAGGCCTCAGCTCTGCCTGCTGATCAGCAGAGGGAATTGCCCATGACTCCGCAGTCAGCTGACTGACCGCAGGTTGTAGGTCCTCAGGTTCCGCTGCCTCCTCTTGGTGGCCCTCAGCTTGACGAAGGTGCGGCCCGTGGGGTCGAAGACGCAGAGGACGGTGATGCAGACGCTGAGGATGACCACCCAGTTGCAGACAACCATCCCTGCGGGGCGACAGGAAGTGACAAGAGGTGGAGATATTGGGGACATGTCCCTGGGCCATCAGCCGTGTTTACGAAAGGGGCCCTACGGGCTGGGAGGGTGGCTCAGTGGTAGAGTGCATGTCTTGCATGCATGAGGCCCTGGGTTCGATTCCTCAGCACCACATAAACAGAAAAAGCCAGAAGTGGCGCCGTGGTTCAAGTGGTAGAGCGCTAGCCTTGAGCTGAAGAGCTGAGGGACAGTGCTCAGGCCCAGAGTTCAGGCCCCACGACCCATGAAAAAAGAAAAAGAAAAAAAAAAAAAAAAAAGAAAGGGGCCCTGGTGACTTCTGGCCTCCAAATAGCTTCCAGCTCAGAAGCCTCGGGCCCAACTTTCCTCAAACATAGACCCCAAGACACACCTTGATACGGGGAGCAGGCAGCTCTGTGGGCGATGAAGAAAACGCTGAGCTCAAGTACTGCCCACTTAAGGCCAGGGTCCCCAAGGGGATGGTGGAGCACAGTCCCATCACGGCCACTGGAGGCCCCACCCCCAGAGGCCCCGCCCCAGAGGCCCCACCCCCAGAGCTGGCTGGGAAACAGAATGACACACACATACCCAGGGTGACGTTCTTGGCAGTGAGGTCATTGCAGGAGGTGTAGTACTGGGTGAGCCACACGATGCCCACGATGGCGTAGATGAACTCGATCACCAGGATGGCTGCGGGGAGAGCAGGCCCTGGCTGAAGTGTGGCCACCAGGGAAGCACCCAGAGACCTTGGCCTGAGCCCTCTGGCCAGCTCTGCTGCTGGGGTGGGAAGTGGGGGGGGGTCCCCTGTGGGCCCCAAGGACATTCCTCCTCTATTCTGTGCTAGGCCCCCGGCCTTGTGCCCTCAGGTCCCCCTGTCTGCTCTGTGAAGGTGACTACAAAGGTGGATGAGGAAGATGCACAGCTCTATTTAATTTAATTGATTAATTTGATGTGTTTATGTGCCCTTACTGGGGCTTTAACTCAGGGCTTAGGTGCTATCCCTGAGTTTTTTCACTCAAGGCTGATGCTCTACCACTTGAGCCACAGATCCACTTCTGGATTTTTCTGTGATTTTCATTGGAGATAAGAGTCTATGAGACTTTCCTTCCTGGGCTGGCTTTGAACGTGATCCTTAGATCTCAGCCTCTGGAGTAGCTAGGATGACAGGTGTGAGCCACCGGTGCCCAGTGTTTCTCTTGTCTTGTCAGGATTTTGGGACCTGTGTGGGATGCGCGTGCATCTCAGGCTAAGCTTCCTCGTCTACAGGACGGGAGTAACAACCCTGTCCCAGGACCACCTGAGATTAAATCAGTGTCTATCCCATGAAAAGGGCAAGAAACCTTGGAACTGAAAGGGGATGCATAAGGAGCAACCAGGCTGCTTATGTCTGCACCACCAAGCCCAGGGCCTGGACCAGGGATTGGGAAGAAAATGTGGAAACATTTCCATCCTTCCCTAGCTGGGTGACCTTGAGAGAGCTCATGAATACCCAGGAACCCAGTGACCTCATCTACCAAATGATGCTGCCACTACTTGCTCCTGGGTTTAACACACAGAGTGGGAGAGGCAACTGGGACTGGGCAGGGGTAGAGGGTAGGAGGGGGAGCTTCCCAAGAAAGGGCGGGGCTGTTTGGAAAGGATCATAAAACCAGTGAGCTTCGCAGAGATGCTCTGGTTTTAAGATAGAAGGGAGGCTGGCCCGGGTGGCTCACGCCTGTGATCCTAGCTATTTAGGAGACTGAGATCTGAGGATCGTGGTTTGAAGCCAGCTAGCTGGGTGGAGCATAGATTCTTATCTCTAATTAACCAACAAAAAGCCAGAAATGGAGCTGTGGCTCAAGTGGTAGAGCATTAGCCTTAAGAGAGAGAGAGAGAAAAAAAAAAAGCTCAGGGATAACACCCAGGCCCGGAATTGAAGCCCCCCCAAAAGCAAATATTTTAGACTTTGAGGTGCTACAGTCTTAGAAGCAAATGCTCAGTTCTGCCACAGGAGAATCAGAGCAGCCTGAGAGGATACATGTATGCAAGGGTGTGTTTCAATAAAACTTTATTTACAAAACATACAGTGGGAGGGTTTCTACCTGCCCCCAGGTCTAACCTGCCCCTGTGCTAGCTCAGGGTCTGCACTTGAACCCACGCCCAGTGACTCTGGGCTGAAGGGATGAATGAGCACGGGAGGACCTGGACGTAGAGGGAGGTCTGGAGCAGCCCTTACCCAGGCGCACGTAGAGCACGTACTGCATGGAGTCGCGGGGCTCCGTGTACAGGATGCCCCCGCGCATGCTCAGCCAGATGATGGCCATCTCGGCGATCATGCAGCTCAGCAGGATGCCCAGGTAGCCGCGGCCGTGGTCCACCAGGTTCAGGGAGCAGGCCTCGTGCGGGTTGTAGACCAGGCCAAAGAGCACCACGGACAGGATCACAAACCTGCGGAGGGCCCAGGTCAGCGAGGCCCGAAGCCTGGGCACTTGCCTTATGCCAGCCCTGGCTGGCAGGACAGCCCTGCCCAGCCTAGGCTTGGCAGAAGGATGGGGCAACAGGCATCTTCCCCCCGCACAAGACCAGGAGAAATAAGAACAGGGAGCTCCATGGCAGCATGGGGACACAGCTGTGGTGGTCATGTTCAGTACAGGGGTGGCAACAGCCAGGAAAGGGGTGTCTCCATGTGGGTACTGCCCCCCAAGGGTCCAGGGAACCCCAAGGGTTTCTCCAGGGAGTGGGACAGGATCAGGCAGGGAGGAGCAGATGGTCAAAAAGTTTCCCTCCAGGCCTGTGGCCCCAGCCAGGGACTCACCAGGTAGTATGCAGGAGGAAGAGGAAGATGGCTGGCAGGACAAGGTCATCGCTGCCCACAGACCAGCGCCGCCGGAACACCACGATCCCGGGCATGGCTGGCAGCTCGGGGAGGCTCAGCGGGCCTGGCGCTCACCTCCTGAAAACAAGCACACACACACACACACACATACACACACGCAAAGACTCTGAAAGCTGGACACTGGGGTCTCATGCCTGTAATCTTAGCTACTCAGGAGGCTGAGATCTGAGGATGGAGGTTTGAAGCTAGCCAGAGCAGGAAAGTCCATGAGACTCTGATCACCAATGAACCAGTAAAAAGCCAGAAGTGGAGCTGTGGTTCAAGGCTAGCCTTGAATGAAAAAGTTAAGGGATAGTACCCAGGCACTGAGTTCAAGCCCCAGTAGCAGCATACACGCACACACACACACACACATACACACACACACACACACACACACACACGCACACGCACACGCACACGCACACGCTCACACGCACATGTGCATGCATGCATGCACACATGCACACAAGACCCTGTAGCTGCCTCGGAGGGCCGGGGCAAGCAACACCACTAGTCAGGAGCCCCTGTACCAGTTCCAGCTATGGTCCAGGACTCAGGCCCCCAAGTCCCCACCCACCACCAGGGGACTTCTAGGCACTGGCCATCTCCAGGGAGGAGCTGCCTCCGGCCCTGTCAACACCCAAAGCCAACACCCAGGCCCTTAGCAGCGGGACACACAAACTTCAGCTGTGTTAGCGTCTCTCCTGTCCCCCACCCTGGCCATGCCTGAAGACATCCCCACGGAAGCCGAGCACACCTCCTCCTTCTGCATGGCATCGGTGGGACCCTCAGCCCTCCCACCCCTTATTTCCTTTCTACATCTAGCCCAGGCTAGGGTCAGGCTTCTAAGGCCAAGAACAAACACCATGGGGCCTGAGAGGGTGGGAAAGGGGCCCAAGGCCTTGGGGACGGACAGTAGGATGTGATGGTTATGGCTGGGGCTTGGCACACAGTAGGTGCTCAGTAAGTCTTGGCTCAATGAGGTCTTTGTTTTATGTTTTTTGTTTTGTTTTCTTTTTTGTCAGTCATGGGGCTTGAACTCTGGGCCTGGATGCTGTCCCTCACCTCTTCAGCTCAAGGCAAGCGCTCTGCCACTTGAGCCACAGCGCCACTTACGGTTTTCTGCTGGTTTATTAGAGATAAGAGTTTCACAGACTTTCCTGACCAGGCTGGCTTTGAACCGTGATCCTCAGATCTCAGCCTCCTGAGTAGCTAGGATTACAGGTGTGAGCCACCGGTGCCCGGCGCCCTGTAAACTGTTCTCTGACTTGGACACGCGACACAGCATCCTCAGCCACAGTTGCCACTTCTCTGGGGCAGGAAGGACCGGATGGCAACTTGGTCAGGAGTGCTTGGGGGCATCTTCTGCCCCTTCATTGAGGAAAAGCAATCCATCTGCACGCTCACCCAGAACCCAGAATCTTTCACTGCCCCGTGCCCAACTCTCTGAAGTAGTTGGATCCAAAGTAGCTAGGAGCCAGCTTAGTGCCCAAGACCCCAGGGCCCCCCTTGAGAGCCCTCAGATGGACAGCATCATGGAGGAGAGTCGGGGTCACCTGTACTGAGTGCTCTAGAGGGGCCCCTGGTGTGGACAGCTGCATGCCCCCCAAGCTGCCAGAGCCTTACATACATGACACCCAGTCCAGGGGTGGCGGGTGGCCGATCCTTCTCTCCCAGCTGATGGCTCCGGGGAAAACGTGTGTCCTCGGAGGCGGGCATCACTAGGGAAGGATGTAGGCAAGTCTTCCCTGGGCTGGGAGCGCAGCCTCGGGGTGGGCGAGGGGGCATGGGGTGGGGTGGTAGGCCGGTATGCCCTGCCCGGCCGGCCGCCCTCTCCCAGGTGCGGCCGCTGCATGCAGCCGCTCCCAGCCGCTCCCGGGCTGCTCGGGGAGCTGGCGGCCTGGCGGGCTGGCCCGCTGGGGTCGTGCGTGCCTACTCCTCCCCCCTCAGGAAGTGACATCATCCCACTCTCGAGGAGGAGTCGAGTGATTCTGGGAAAGCCGGGAGAAGGATGCAGGGCGATGGGAGCCGCGGTGCTGGGGTGGTCAGGGGTGGGTGTGTGTCGGGGGGGATGGGATCTGGGGTCTGCAGGGGGCTTCAGGGCTGCTGCCGGCTGCAGCTTGTGACTTCATGGCGTGGGGCTGGACGTGATGGGCCAGGAAGGGGCTGGGGTCCCCGTGGGTGGCAGTAAGGTTGGGGCAGGACAATGCTGCCAACAGCTGGCGTTCCCGCCTGCACCCAGCCTGCAGGTGGCTCTCCGAGGCTGAGTGGGGGGGGGGGGGGGTTGGGCTGCGGGGAGGGGCCGGGAGCCCCCACCCCCTACACAAGTGAAACGTGTTCAGAGAGGGCAGGCCGAGCTCTGCGCTGTGCCCAATGCAGACACCAAAGAGGGGGGACCCCAGGACTGCTGCCTCAAGGGGCTGGGAGGGGAGGGTCCCGCCCACCCCGGCTGCCACCTACCCTGTCTCTGCTAGCAGCCCAGGGCACTTCCTGTCAAGAAGACCCCAAGGATGGCCCGCGTGCTTGCTCTTTCTCTTTCTTTTACTTCCTTCCTTCCTTTCCTTCTTTCTTCTTCTTTTTTCTTTCTGCCTCTCTCCCTCTTTCTCTCTCTCCTCTATCTCTCTCTCTCCCTCTTTCCCTCTCTCTGTCTCTATCTGTCTCCCTCCCTCTCTTTTTTCTTTCTTTCTCTTTCTTTCTTTCCTTCTTTCTCTCTCCCTCTCTCTCTCTCCTCTCTCTATCTGTCTGTCTGTCTCTTTCTCCCCCCCCTCTCTCTGTCATGGGTCTTGAACTCAGGGTCTGGGTGTTGTCCCTGAGCTCTTTTGCTCAAGGCTAGTAACTCTACCACTTTGAGCCACAGCTCCACTTCCAGTTTTCTGGTGGTTCATTGGAACTGAGAGTGGCCTAGACCTTCCTGCCCAGGTTGGCTTTGAGCCTTGATCCTCGGATCTCAGCCTCCTGAGTAGCTAGGGTGACAGTGTGAGCCACCGGTGCCCTGCAAGGATGGGCCTTTCTAGTCACTCTGGGGGCCCTCCTCTAGTCTCCCTTCCCTTCGCAAAGTCTAGAAGGGCTACCTACTCCTTCAGCTCACAGACACCCTGGGAATGCCCACTCTTGAGCCCCCCTGCCCTTCCCTGCAGTGGCCTCCTGGCTCTCAAGGCTGGGAAAGCAAGGCACAGCTCTACAGGAGTAAGACACCGGAGTGATCTGGTCAAGAGCAGCAGTCATCAGCCTGGGACTGACAGGCATGGTCAGTGGTGGGACTGACCCACTACGACCCCGTTGCTGGCACCCGGCCCCGCCCCTTTCAGCCCACACCAGGCCTCGGCAGAAGGGAGGGACCCCCGAGGGCTGCATGGTTTGTAATCCAGGCTGTATCACCTGCACGATGGTGTGAGTTCCTATTCGTGCCTCTCCTGAAATGCCTAGCTCCTGCAATTCTGGCGTGGGTCACAGAACTCTTCAGAGTCCTGGGCCTGGCCACGAGGGGGTAGAGGGAGGGTGTGGAAGCCACTGGCCAGCCAGAGCCCTCCCCCACCCCGCGACTGGAGTCTCTGGCTGGTCACCCACAGGCCACGGTCTGGGGTTGGCCGACGGAGTCTGCAAGGCATGGGGGGCAGGGGATGCAGATTCGTCAATCTCAGGGCTGCTATTTTTAAGAGCCTGAAAGGCCCTTTTCTCTGAAGACCCCCAGCCCATCACAATGGGGGCCTGTTCCTGGCTCAGGCTGTGATTTCATCGCAGGGAAATGTCCCCAAGGGCGGGGGGGGGGGGCAGAGGCTACTTCCTGGCCTGGGGCTGTGCATCACCTCCAGTTCCCCTCCTCCACCTCAAAATTGCCTCCATACCCCAAGAGCCTGGGGTGCATAGGGACCCTCTAACAGGGGGGTCCCATGGGCACTGAGGGGGGACTCCTCAGTCCTCTGGCTGCCCCTCCATCAGGCAGACATGAGTAGGGGGTACCAAGAGCACTCCTCATGTGGCTGGAATGACTAACTTTGCCTTAAGGGGCCTCTTTGTCTCCTTAGACCCTCAGCTGTAATGACTCAGGCCCCTGGGTTAAGTCTTAACCATTCTGGAAATTCCTCCTTCTATCCATGCACACTCCTTTTTTAAAATGCACATCCCCCTCCCTCCTCCACTACCCCAATATACTTTAAAACTTGCTATAACACCCCAAGACCTACAGGATAAAGTCCAGCCATGCAGGTGGGCTACTAAGGGGTTCAGTCCCTGGAAGGCTGTGCAGCCTTGGGCAGGTACCCTGCCCTCTCTGAATCCAGGTATTCCTTACCCACTGATACTCCCCAATCCTCAAGGATCAGGGCACGCACAGTCTGCCACTCAAGCTACATGAAGTGACTTAGGGTGGCTCTCCCGCCCCTCCTCACACTCACCCTTCCTCCCAGAAATATCCTCCCAAAGCTGATCAGCCAACAAAGACACGTCATTGGTTTGTGGGTCACCCTTGAGCTCACTCTTCTACCCATCTTTCTAGGCCAGCCAAAAGTCACCTCTTCTTGGAAGCCCTCCTTGATGGCTCCCTCCCATCCCCAGGTTGTTCTCTTCTAAGGTGGTCTGCAGGCCCCTCATCTCAATGCAGCCCTGGACACACACGGTCCCACCATTCACTTGCTGGACTTTGGTGTTCCACCTCAGAAAGTCTGGGGCTCTGAAGGTCTCCCATCCCTCAGTGCCCGGCAGCGGGAGTGGCTTCAGGAAGGGACTTTGCACAGGTCCTAGCAAAGCTGGGGGGTGAGCAGAACTGTGTGAACAGTGCCGAGAGACTCCTGGGGGACTGTGGCTGGAACTACAGGATGCATCTACATTCATTGGCCCCAGATTACTGTGTGACATTGCACGTGCTACTTCTCTTCTTTGTGCCTCCGTCTCCTCACTTCCCACGTGGGGTTCAGAAAAGTAGCCACCTCAGAGCCGTCACGAGGACCAGCCCAGTTCCCCGTGTAAAAATAAACAAGCACTTCTTCCGTGATTAACTAATCTAAGGATGAGGAGCTGGGCACCAGTGGCTCACGCCGGTCATCCTAGCTACTCAGGAGGCTGAGATCTGAGGATCACAGTTTGAAGCCAGCTGGGGCTGGAAAGTCTGTGAGACTCTTATCTCTATTAAACTACTCAGAAAAAGCTGGAAGTGGAACTGTGGCTCAAGTGGTTGAGCGCTAACCTTGAACAAAAGAAGCTCAGGGACAGAGCCCAGGCCCTGTGTTCAAGTCCCAGGACCAGCAAAAAAACAGATCACAGCTCCAAGATTTTCCCCTGATACTTTCAAAAAAAAAAAAAAAAAAAAGCAGGGGGCTGAGCAGACAGTGGGCACTGGAATCCTGTGCCACCCAGAGCCCCTGTCCAGGCAGGAACATTGTCAAGTTAGAAGGCCTCAGGCTTGTTCCATGGGCTCCTTTTACAGGTGAGGACACTGAGGCTCAGGAAGAAAGGAAGTGGCCCGAGGCTCTTCCCAAAATGTCCATCTTGTGTCCCCCCTGGTGTCCCTGAGCCAGCCCACCGCCTCAGAGTCCTGAGTGTCACGCAAAGCTATTCCTGGATGCAAAAGGGCCACTGGCCAGGGGCCGAGAGAGCAGGGGTCCCTGGTACCCTGGCCGGGGAGGGGGGTGAGCCCAGGATCCCATTTCCACAATGAGGCCTCCTCTGCCTGGTGCTGAGGGCTTATGTTGGGTCTGAGGGCTTGGTGAGTCTTGGTGGGGCATCTGGTGGGGATGGGTAGGGGGCAGGTGGTGGCCCACAGAGAGGCTCCATCCCCAAAGGGGCGGGGCTTGCTAACATCCCCTGGCCAAGTGGGGCCAGGGCTTCGGTGGTGGGTGAATCGCAGTTCCTCCACTTCCCAGGCCTTCTCTGATTTAGAGCAGAAGGAGATCAAGAGTGCAGTGTTAGTGACTGTGGAGCTGCTCTGGGTGATGGGGTGAGGGAGAACTCGCCCAGCTAGCTTCTTCTAACACTCAGGACATGCCTGCCATGGCTCAGCTTCTTTCCAAACATGAGCTCATTTAATCTTCCTAACACCATTGAGATCAAGGTACCTCTGCTACCTATATTTTAACCAAAGGGTAACAAGACTTGCCCCAGGTCACACTGCCTAGTTCAGAGACCTCATCTCAACTTCTCCATGCAGCTCGAGGCAGTGGGTTCAGCCAACTGCCTGCTTCTAGACTCAGGAGTTGGCCTCTGACCTTGTCTACTGAGTGGGTGGCGGGGCCTCAGGACCTATAAAGAGCTCCCCTGTCTTTACCTGACCCCAGACGCATAATTAGACCCAGAGGATGCCTGCAGTGCAGCAGCAGCTGAGCCCAGGGCATCCTGGGAAGCTGGGAGAAAACAGCAGTAGAAACAGCTTGTGCCATCACGTTCTCCATTCATAGGCTGTACGGGGACATCACCTCTACTCTGTAGGTGAAGAAACGGAGGCCAGGAGAAGAAATGATCTGCCCGTTGGGCTTTCAAATGGCCTTCCTGAGTTCCCTGCGGCTGTCAGTCAGTCAGTCTCCTGGTTCTCCAGCACCCATAGACATCAGGCTCCATCTTCCTGGGTGCCTTCCCTTCTTCCTAGGTCTGCAGCCAATGGGGGCTGGCTTCCGAGAGCACAGGAAGGGAGCAGGCGGCAGAAGAGGCAACAGGACAGAGAAAGCCGCG